ATTTTTTTCAATCTTAAAAAACACACTGGCAAAATACAACCCTCTATTCTAAAACTGTTGGGATAGTGTTTAAAATATAAATAAAACAGAAAGCAATGCTTTGTAAATCCTTTTTCAAACTTCATTCAATTTGTGCTAGACTGACTGGCAGGCCAGTCTAGCAGCTACACTTCTGATTATGGAGCTACACTGTTGCAACATATAGAGAATGTGTCTCACTGTTGTTCCATTGATTTTTCTTGGGATGCTTATGTCAATTTTAGGTTTCCCCTGTTGCAACTTTTTTGGAACATTGCAGGCATAAAATTTGGCCTTGGCATACATTTACAAAAATCTTGATTTGGTAAAACATTACATTAAATATCATTAAACATTATTATATATGTTTTCTTTGTACGGTTTTAAATTGTATATAGGTACAAACCCAATTCAGAAATAGTTGGGATGAAGTGTAAATTGTGAATAAAATCAAAATTCAATGACTTTCAGATCATGTGAGCCAATATGTTATTTACCATAGATCATAGATAACATTTCAAATTTGGACACTGAGACATTTTACATTTTTATTCATAAAATGAGCTCATTTCAAATTTTCTGGCTGCAACAGGTCTCAAAAATGTTGGGACACAGGCTAAAAAGGGCTGAAAAAGCAATTAATATATTAGAGAATCAGATGAAAGAACATTTAGCAAGTAATTACATTAACTGGCATCAGGTGTGTAACATGATTGGCTATAAAAGGGATGTCTTAGAGATGCTGAGTGTCTCAGAAGTAAAGATGGCCAGAGGCTCTCCAACCCGTGAAGGCTTGCGTAAAAAAAAAAAAAAAAAAAAATAGTGGAATACTTTAAAAACAATGTTCCTCAACGTCAAATTGCAAAGGCTTTGAGGGTCTCATCATCGACAGTGCATAACATCATCAAAAGATTCAGAGAAACTGGAAAAATCTCTGTGCGTCATCCACAGATGACACCTAAAACTCTATCATGCAAAAAGGAAGCCATTGTTGAGCATGATCCAGAAGCACCGCCGTGTTCTGTGGGCCAAGGCTCATTTAAAATGGACTGTAGCAAAGTGGCAAAGTGTCCTGTGGTCAGACGAGTCCAAATTTGACATTCTTGTTGGAAATCATGAGCGTTGTGTCCTCCGGGCTAAAGAGGAGAAAGACCACCCCTCCTGTTATCAGTGTTCAGTTCAAAAGTCAGCATCTCTGATGGTATGGGGATGCATTAGTGCATATGGTGTGGGACACTTGCATGTTTTAAAAAGCACCATGAATGCTGAAAGGTATATTAAGGTTTTAGAGCAACATATGCTCCCCTCCAGATGACATCTATTCCAAGGAAGGCCTTGTGTATTTCAGCAGGACAATGCAAAACCACATACTGCAGTTATTACAGCTGCATGGCTTCGCAGTAGAAGAGTCCGTGTGCTGAACTGGCCTGACTGCAGTCCTGATCTTTCACCGATTGAGAACATTTGGCGCATAATTAAATGAAAAGTATGTCAAAGGAGATCCAAAACTCTCCAGCAGCTAGAAGCCTGTATTAAACAAGAGTGGGATCAAATTCCAATGGCTAAACTCAAGAAACGTGTCTCCTCAATGCCCACTCTGTGTTAAAAAGAAGAGGGGATGCTACACCATGGTAAACATGCCCCTGTCCCAACTTTTTTGAGACCTGTAGCAGCCATCAAGCTTGAAATGAGCTCATTTTGTGGATAAAATTGTAAAATTTCTTGATTTTAACATTTGCTATGTTATCTCTGTTCTATTGTGAATAAAATACTGGCTGGTGTGATTTGAAAGTCATTGCGTTTTGATTTTATTCACAATTTACACTTTGTCCCAACTATTTCGGACTTGGGGTTGTAGATTTTCATTTGTTATTATTTGCATTTTACATGCACTCTCAACTTTTTTTGGAATTGATGTTTGTAATTCCTTAAGAATAATAGTAATAATAAAAAACATCCACAAGATGAGCCAGTGGAACAGAAAGGGGTATAAAGTTGAAGGGTTGGTTCTGATTGTGAAACAAGTGAGGGTGCACTTAACTGGCACCATTGATCTGTGAATTTGTGAAGCAGGCTACTTTTGGGCACCTCACCTTGACCTGCATCAAATGCTTCCACTGATGTGTAAAGCAGTGCTTTTAATTGATGATAACTGCTACTCTTCCATTTAATCTTTGGGGAAAAAAATCTCAATTAAAATTTCAGATAACTCAGATAACCGCTCTTTGGAACTATAGTGAGCAGAAAAGCATCTCGGAATTCACAACAATTTGATACCAGTGGAAGGCTATGTCTGGTTCCACTCAGCCAGGAACAGAAATGCAGTGGGCTGCAGTGAGAGCAGGCCCAGAAAAAATTTTGGTGGAAAACGTAATCTGGTCTGATGAATCTCAATTTCTGCGTCGACATGCAGGCGGAGGGTTTGCAAATTGGCAGTTTAGGGTGGTGGTGGTGATTAAATGATTTAGGGGAATCTTTCCTCAGCACACTTTTGGCCCTTTAATACTAATCAATCATTGTTTGAATGCCACAGCCAGTCTAAGTATTTTTGGCTTGGTATTTTTTCCTTTCTGGCTGCAATTTGCCCATCTTGTAGTAATTTAGTTACTTCCAGCATGATAATGCACCATGTTGAAAAGGAAAAATGATTTCAGGTTGGATTCATGAACATTATAATGAATGCACTTCACTGGCCTCTGCGGGCGCCAGATTTGAAACCATCACTTTTGGGATGTGGCAAAACAGGAGATTCACAGCATGAATATGCTGTGGATAAATCTGCAGATATTATGCAATACATTAATATAAACATGCACCAGAATCTCCAAGGAATGTTTCCACCATTTTGTGGAATCCATACTATGAGGAAATGAGGCTGTTCTGAGAGCAAGGGGTGGCCATGTCGAGTATTAATATGGTGTTCCTAATAAAGAGCTTTTTGAGTGTATGAATGTATGTATGTGTGTGGGTGTGTTTTACTCTATGCATGTTGGGATTAATATCATTATTGTATGAAAAATGGTATTAAAAAAGGCTCATGGTAATTCACATGCAGATCAAACTCAGTGGTTTGTTTACAATTGAGCGTTCAATAACATAGATTGCATTTCTTTTAATATTCAATAGATGATCCTGTAAAGAATAAGAGAGCACAAAAGTGATTACATTTGACCTACTTAATGGTGTTGAATGGCAAACCTAAATGTATGTGCCAGACTGCGCCTGAAAATACGTTTTGCTGACTGTTTCAATTTGTTTATTTCTAGGGTTCAACAGTGGGCCAATACCTTTGGAAGGGAAATATACTCCATCGTAACAAAATACTCTGGGTCAGATTTGCTGCAAAAGGTAAACTATGTGTGATTTTACTTTTAGGTTTGGGAAACTGTTCACTGATCTTTCCCTGCAAGCTTAAGTAATTTCCCCTCACAAGTCCCTACAGCCACACAATGTAAGCTGCAAGTAAGTTGTAGCCGGGTTTACAACTCAAAACTGTGAAAACTGTGCACAAATATGGTGTTGCCATAGTGCAGCATTGGTGAAGTATTTTGGCTCTGTAACCTGATTGCGGTTTTGAGTCACTGCTCTCGCAGAAGGGATTCAAGCTGAATTGCATCTGGGAGCATCCTGGCTGCAGTACATAAATGGATATGACAAATATGAGTTACGCTGTGTGTCAACTCAAGGACATCTGCTAAGCATGTACATAATGGCATAAAGATTATACTGCAGAGAAGAGTTTCTCAATCCCTTTGACTACAAAAGAGGGCATTATGTGGCCAGAGGACACATAATATAGGTTCCTATCCCACGTAGTACTCATTTTCAGCGATTGTTTTGCTATTTCTCACAGTAACATAGCAGCAGGGGCTGTATTTTGCTCAGCTACACTTCATAAATACCGATATTATCTGTGCGCACCCCTGTTTGCCTGCTTGCACATATACGTGTGAATGTGTTTGTACACATTGGCTCCCTTCCCCAGTTGTGTGCAAACACACATGTCCGAGTGTGTGTGTGTGTGTGTGCGTGTGTGCGTGTGTGTTCTTCTACATGCTATGAAGTGAGAATCAAAAAATGTTGCTGTCCTACTGAGTGGGGACATTATTGGGAAGTGAGGACATTTTCAAATGTCCTCACAACTACGAAGGCAAATTGTGACTCATTCGTTCAGTTTAGGGGTTAGGTTAGTATTAGGGATAGGTTAAGGTTAGGGTCAGGGTTTGGGTTAGGCATACTTTGCTTATTGTTAAGATTAGGGAAAGGCTGTAGAGGCATAGACTGAATGAATGGAAGTCAGTGTAATGTCCTCACAAAGATATAAGTACAAGGATGTATGTGTGTGTGTGTGTGTGTGTGTGTGTGTGTGTGTGTGTACATGCTGGCTCATACAATGTGCACATTTTGTCTGCAAGATCGTGCAGCAGTAGGCTTGCATCTTTTTGGCAAAGGCCTAAGTATAGCTGGAACAGGATGGGGTGAAATATTCATGTTCTGCTGTGCTGGTCACCTACATTATGCTGTTGGTATCCATCTGTCCTCATCTGTGCAATCAGCGGAGGATGATGGAGCTGGCGCAGGGATGGATGAGGCCCTGACCAGGGGAGGTGTCTGTATACTGCCTGTGGAGCAGAGATGGAGGGGGCAGGGTTGCTGGCTGGTGGGTGCCTTTGGCAGATTATGATACAGGGACATTTGTTTTGCGTGGCATTAACCCTTCACTCTGATCCTCTCGAGGGGCTCGGAGTCTGCGCGTGTGGGGTGGGGGGGTTGTCCCCGCTCCCTGCCGAGCTGCAGACAGTGTGCAGTGTAACAGGACCACACCAATGCTCGGACATTTAAGTGACCTGAGAGCAAAATTCGGGCTACAGTGCACTTAACAATTACACTCTTTGCCATTTGAGGGCCTTCGGTCATTTTTCGAAGTGCGTGTATGTGTGTGAATTTATACCAACGCTGCTCAAGACCGGGTCAGAAAATCTGAACCCGAGTGAGGATCAAACTCACAATTTAGGGGTTCCGTCCCACCGCTCTAGCAACTGAGCTACCAAGTCCAGTTGGGAATGAATTGCAAGTTTGATCTCGCAAGACCACAATGCATATGAGATACTGTCACAATGAACATTTGGAAGATCTATTTATTTTCTGAAGACACAATGTTTCGATTCCATATTGGGGTCATTTTCAGGGATAAATTGCCAATTTATACCGAAACTGCTCAAGACCGGATCAGAAAATTTGAACCCGAGTGAGGATTGACCTCAGGTGGTGGAGCAGTGGTACCGAATCCCTAAGTTGTGAGTTCGATCCTCACCCAGGTTCAGATTTTCTGATCTGGTCTTCAGCACTGTCGGTATACTGTAAATTGGCAATTTATCCCTGAAGATGACTCCAATGTGTGTGTGTGTGTGTGTGTGTGTGTGTGCATGGGTATGTGGAGGGCGGTGCTGTACAAGTGGTGGGTTTTTTAACTCACAAATTTAAAATACAAAAATAAAAAGATGTTCCAGAAGAAAAGCATGGGAGTACCCAACAAAAAACAGGGCCTGCACAATTTTTTTCTCGTATTTATTGTCCAGGGGGGAGAAATAAGATTACAAAGACCTTTTGGCCTCTTTGAAAAATATGCTTTGTGTGTTTTTTGACCTGTTTGAAGAGATAGGTTGTTGGAAAAAAGCATTGATGATGTCCTCACACTCCAGGTGGTTACCGAGCCTTGGTACAGTAGATGTGCTCCCACAGTAATTATGCATATATGCCTTACTTTCCTGTTCTGCCCAGAGGCATCATTGCACATGGTATCCTACCATCTGCTAGTCAGCTGACCAATGTAACGTGTTCAGCATCAGCAGATATTTACACATCTGTGTTCTGTTTCCCCACGTTATCTGCTGTACATTTTTAACAGTTTATACTTTTCCTTCACCTAATTTTCTGTCGCAAGAAGAGCATTTTTGTTTATTGTTCCACTATATAAATATTTGTGAACCATAATTTTCTCTAATGATTGACCAGAGAGAAGTCTGGCATCTAGTTTCTATTGTTTTTTTCCTTTATTCTCATGTATTGTCCTAGAATATTTTCGTAAAAAGCACTATTTCTTTTTTACCTTTCTTTTACATCATCTCTTCAGGATGAACCTTACCTGCGACTAAACATTTACGTTTTATGTCTCATGACAGACAAATGTTTGCTTAATTTTAGTACACTTTTCGACCCTAGCAGATAAAGCAATACTTTTACTTGCTGGGAATTGTCCGGTTTTCGAAGCAAATGTCTGTATCAGAACCTATTGTACTCCGATCACTCCTGACTGAACGAAGATTATCACAGAATAAGCCTGGAGTTCAGTTTTTTAGGGATGTGTTTCTGATGCCTCACTGGACGTCTTGAAATAAAGCCTTGGACACCCGTGAAAAATGTGCATCAAATAGAAAGTATAATAGGGAGTGACAGTCAATCGAGTCCAAATATGAGCCAGGCCTGAATACTCCTGTTTTCAATCCTAATTTTGTATTTTTGTAAATCACTAGTTTGGAAAATAATTCATTTTACAACATGGCATTGAATACTGTGTATATCTTGCAAAAAATGTAACACTGTACATATGGTGAGCTCCGTAGTGTTTATCTTGTTGTTTAAGCTTTGACAAAACATACTAATTAATCATTTGTATGTCAATTTCCATGGATACCTCATCACATAGGTGTTTGCCCACCATTTCATCAGAGCTATGGTTACGTTGAGCTGACTAAACATCAGTTGTACATTAATAATGTATCATTTGAGTGCCTTGTTGTAAAAGTGCGTGTGTGCTCAACTGTGTGTTTAAGCAGCTGGGCAATAAAGACCAGGGTAGGTTGCCGTTTATACAATAAGTTTACAAAGACCCATTTCTATGTGAATAGGATGTGAGATTCAAATTTTATTAAACGGCACTGTACTTATCGTTAGTGATGAAAAATTACAGAAAACATTACACAGTAAAACTTCTGTAAATGAATTAATTGTGTTAAGGTTGAGTTCAGTTTAGGGTGAATTTCGACTCCGGACCCCAGCCTTATCGTACATCGTGTATCCCTGTATTTTTGTCACAGTTTGGCTCTCGCTGTCAGTATCATTGAACACATTTGTTCCCAGAATGTGAAACCATCCCACACTGACACTAATCCAATATCTCAGTCATAATGAGCTTGTAAATGATTTTGAAAAGACTCCAACACTGTTTGAATCCTCTGGAAATTTTGGCACCTGGCTCTGCTTGGAGGTTCAGCTGCAGTCCATAGAGGCTTTAGGCCTCCAGTTGAGGTTGGAAGTTTACATACACCTTAGTCAAATACATTTAAACCCAGTCTTCACAATTCATTTAATCCTAATAAGCATCCCCAGCACCATTTTTCTAATCATGTGCAAAATACGCAAAGACCATAGCAACTTCATCTGTGATCTGTCAATGGGAGTGCTCCTTTTGAGTATATTTAAACATATGCACTCGTAATGCGATGGCCATAAGTAGCCGTATTATGAGGACCGGTGATCTGTCAAAAGAAGCCAGCTCAGATCATTGCCAATACTGCTGCCTTGTGTCAGGGCTCTGGTATATCAAGTCAAGTCAAGTCAAGTGGGTTTTATTGTCATTTCAACCATATACACTGTACATAGTGAGATGAAATAACGTTTCACCAAGAATCAAAGTGGTGTTATATTTAAAAACTATATTACAAAAGACATTTAAAACAGGTTACCTATATAGTGCACACACATAAGGTAAACATAGTGCACACACCTTAAAGGTAAACAAAAGTGCAGTGACTACATAAGGTAGAGCATTTAAGCATTTAAAACAGACAAGGGACAAGGGACAGGACAGACAACAAAAAGACAGGGCATGAGTAAACATAACAGAGAAGTGGCTATAATAAGTTAAAGTGACCATAGTAAGTTAAGTTGCTATATGCACAGAGGAATGTGCACATGTAGCCTAATTGACTCTGCTTACCTTTGTTTCGGTGATCACCGCTATTTTGTGGACATCAGTAAAGAGTTCTATTATTTGCATTATCTATTATATTAAAGAAGCCTTTTCAGGGCATTTTTGTTGTTTAAGAAATATCAAATGCATGCAGGGTGGTCACAAAGGCAGCAATGGCCATGTTCAAAATTGTGTACTTATTTACTTCATAATTCACCAGTTTATACTGGATACCTCATGCTACTCTATAAAAGAGTAGCTTTACAGTTTGTGAGCCAGCGTATGACAATAACCATGTCCTGTACTACACAATCACATGACCACCATGTCCTCACAATCATCTGGATGTCAGTGGGATGTTAATATTACGTTACAGTTTAAAAATTACACATTTCATATGCTGCATAACAAACTTTTTTTATGATTCATTGTCACAGCTGTGACAGATATGCTGGTTGTTACTGTGGTTGATGAAAGAAATATCAGTTACTGTCATCCCAACAATGACTCCTGAGAGTAAAATCTGACTCGATTGTACACTGAAAAGCACTGACATGGCAATCTTCAGAATGTGTTAAAATACTAAATGATTTGTCAAATTATCATGACTATGAGATAAGAAACTATGAACACTACTTGTGCTGACGAAGTTTGGCATATTAGACTTTTATGAGCATGGACATAATTGCTGTGTAACTTAAGTACTGCTTCTATCCTATGTGATGCAGAATGTAACTTGCTTCCAAAACGGATTTCCGGAATTTGTTTCCGAAAGGAAAGAGAACAGTGTTTGATGTTGTCAAGAAAATGCACTTTTGATTGCTGAAACACAATGGAAAATAAGTGTTGCCAGGCAAAACATACCTCGCCTGTCAGCACTTATTTTAGAGTTTTTGATACTGACTCAATTTTACAAGTGTGACCTCAACCATTTTCAACTAAAAGTCCTTTGAAAATCCGTGACCTTTAGTTTGATCTTTTAAGGTCACAGAAGGTCAAAAGTTCATAGTGTCAAATAAAAGTCCATATAGGAATTTCTATGTGCTCTTAAGAGTAAACATCTGTCTGTCTGTCACCGTTTCATAGTTATAATGAAAAATATATTAATTTCACCAATGACCTTGACCCCCCTGACATTTAACTCCTGACCACTACGGAGACTATCAAAGCTATACCATCATTCAGCATATGGTCGGAAGCAGAATTGAAAGGTGCACATTTTGGTTTTGGTTTGAAGTCAATGTGATGAATTCGAACAAAGTTATTGCAGAAAATTATTTTGACATATCCGATGACCTTGACCTTGACCTTTACCCGATCACCCCCAAAATTTAATCAGGTAATCTACGGACCAATGCCTACCTATTCTGAAAGTTTGAAGTCAATCAGTGCAACCGTGTTGACGCTATGTTGTTAACATAAAACCCACATACAAACTAACAAACAGACAAACAAACCGCTCAGATTACAAAACAGAGTTAGCACGGCGAGGTAATGAACTGCTTTGTCAACAAAATAAAATTGCACAGAATGTATGGAAATAAAATAACTTATTGGTATTCAGTTATTGCGTCTGGTTAGTGTATGTGCTGTTGCAAACTACTGTCAACCGCTGCTAGTTTCTCTACTCAAGATACCTTTTTTGACGTCTTTACATGGCTGCGAACTAACTTCTTTGGGAGGAACAAAGATTTTTTCGTCCGTTAACATTTTCTTTAGGCAAATGACATTACGTCCTTCTTGTTCCCAACTGTATCGCTAACTAAGGCTGGAAAAAATCGGGCCCTCCCTGTCTTAGGTCAATTTGGATCTTAACTTTATTTTAATCCTAGTCCTTCCAGGTGTTGGTATATAAGACACACACTCGTTTCCCTGTGTGCTGGTCACCGATACATAGTGTTACAGGTACTGTGACAAATGGTCTTTTAGCCAATGAACAAAATCCTGAAGGCATGAGGATAGGAGGATAAGCATTGACCTAAAGGCAGGACTATGGTTATGAGTCGTTGGGAAAATTACGATGTCCTAACTGATTTGCCAAAACTATAGTTTGCAAACATGAAACATATCTCTGGATATATA